CTAAGGAGCATTCCTGTCTGTACTTCTCCCAACACAGATTGGTTTGTTCTTATGGAAGTCCATGGTATTTTTAGTATTCTTCACCAATACCATAATTTAAATGTATCAAATTTTCTCCAGTGTTCCTTATTCATTGTCCAACTTTTACATGCATATGAGGTTATTGAAAATACCATGGCTTGGTTCAGGCATACCTTAGTCCTCAAACTGACAGCTTTGCTTTTGAATGCTTTAAAGAGGTCTTGTGCGTAACATTTGCCTAATACATTATGCTGTTTGATTTCTTGACTGCTGCTTCCATGAGTGTTGATTGTGGATCCAAGCAAAATGAAATCGTTGACAACTTCAGTCATTTCTCCATTTATCATGATGGTATTTATTGATACAGTTTAGAGGTCTTTTGTTTTCTTTTCATTGAGGTACAATCCATACTGAAGACTGTGGTCTTTGATCTTCTTCAGTAATTATTTTAAGTCCTCTTTGCTTTCAGCAAGCAAGGTTGTGTCATCTGAATATTGTAAGTTGTTAATGAGTCTTCCTTCAATTTTTTGTTTTATTTTATTTTTTCAACTTTTTGTTATGAATAGAGTAAAAGTTTACAGAGCCAATCAACAGTTTTACAGTCAACAAATCATATACTTTGCTTCGTCACATGGTTGCAGTCCCCACCATATATCAACAGTTAACAGTCATTTATTCACTTTATCTATTTCATTCCTCCCTGTCTCCCACTACCTTCATCTTTCCTCTGCTAACCTCCCTCTTGTTGTGTATTGCTTGCCCTGTCACCCATATTAACATGTGTCTACCCGCTAGCTTTTGAGAAATTCTCCACCCCATTACCATCATAGATTGTTTCTTTTATCAAGAACCCCCTTTAAAAAATTTTAAAAAAAATTGTTTTCATGCAATATTTGTCCTTTTGTAATTGACTAATTTCACTCAGTATAGTATATCCAGGCTCAACCATTCTGTGGGGGTGTTTCAGAGATTCTTCATTTTTCTTCAGCATTTTGTAGTGTTGTATCGTGTGTATGTACCAAAATTTGTTTAACCTTTCTTCTGTTGATGGTCATTTAGGCTGTGTCCAATTTTTTGATAAGTCTCTTATAGACAGCATACTAAAGGATCCTGCTTTCTTATCCATTCTGCTCTCTATGTCTCTTGACTGGTACATTTAATCCATTTATTCAGTAGGTATGAATTGATTGCTGTCAATATTTCTGGTTTTTTGTTTTTTTTTGGTGTGTGTGTGTGGTGCTGCTGAATTCTTTGTACCATATAATTGTCTATGCTGAGTTAATTTTGTTTGTGGACTTTTATTTTCCTTTTGTTTGAGGGTTTTCTTTTAATTTTAATTTCTGTTGTGTTAATGTTTGCTTAATCTTTCTGATTTTCCTTTTTTAAATTTTGATGTATAGGTGTATTATTTTTCTTTGAGGTTACCTTATAATTTATTAATTTTTTCCCTTCTAAAAACTGCCTGTTTTATCTTGAAATCTACTTGACTTCCTTGCCATTTGGAAGTTCTGTATCTATACTGTTTCATCTTTTTGCTTTGTAGTTGACTTCATAATACATTGATATCTCTGGTTTTCTATTTTCAGTCTTAGAGGTTTGTTTTACTTTAAATACTTCTATATCTAGATTGAGTTCTGAGTGGTGTTGTGGTGTATGATAATCTCAATTTTTGTACTCAGTCCAAAGAACACCCTTTAGCATTTTTTGTAAGGTTGGTCTGGTCATTACAAATTCCCTTAATTTCTGTTTACCAGGAAATGCCCTGATTTCACCATTGTATTTGAGGGACAAATTTTCTAGGTATATAATTCTTGACTGGAGATTTTTTTCTTTCTGAGGTCTGTATATGCCATCCATTGCCTTCTTGCCTGCATGGTTTCTGCTGATAAATCAGTACTTAGTCTTATTAGTTATCCCTTGAAGATAATCTTTCATTTTTCCTGAACTGCTCTCAGGATTTTTTCATTGTCTTTGATTTTACAAAGTTTGATTATGGTATATCTTAGTAATTTTCTTTTGGGATCTGTCCTGTTTGGGGTTAATTCATCTTCTTGTATGCTTATATTCACATCTTTCATGTTGCTAGGGACGTTTTTTCCCAATAACTCTTTGACAGTTTTCTCTGTGCTTTTTGCTTTCTCTCTCTGTTATGGAATTCTGATCACTTGTAAGTTGTTCCTCTTCATGATGTCTCACATAACTCATGTTTTCTTTGTATTTTTTCATTTTTTCTGGTCTTTTTCTGTTGTTTTTACATGCCGTCAAGTTGATCCTGACCCATAACAGCCCTGTATAGGATTTCTGAGGAGAAGTTGGTTAGTTTGAACCACCAACCTTGTGGTTCATACTGAACTTGCAGTTCAGTGCATTATCCTGCAGTGCACACCAAGATTTCACTGTTCTTGTAGCATACTAGTATTGAGAGATGTATCTTCTGTTCACTAATTTAAGCTTTCCTTGCTTCAAATCTTCTCATTTGCCCTTACAATGTATTGTCGATTTCTGAAATCTTAGTATTAATCTTCTGGATTTCAAGTCGCAGGTTTGGTATTATTTATAAATTTGTAATTATATTGTCTGTTTGTTCTTGAAGTATTTTACTGAATTCTTCTAAAGTTTTTTCTGTGTTCTCCTTGCTTTTCTTGACCTTTCTGTCAATCAGTTGAAGGTACCAAAATATCATTCTTACTCTTTTTCATTTAGTTTCATCACATTTTTTCCTTAAAAATGTTTTCTTTCTCTTCATGTGGGCCATTTGTTTGAGCCATTCTTTCTTGTTTCTTCATGTGAGCTAAGATAGTTTGTTGTTTCTAGGGCACTGTGGGGTTGTTGTATTTGTAAAATCAAACTGTACTGTTGTTGGACCCAGAGGGGAGAAGTCTCTGGTAGGCTCCTTCAATTCAAGGAGATGATGAGGTAGTTGTAGAAAGGATGTGACAGCAGAGTTCCTGGGCCTAAATGGAGTTCCTATTGGCATTGGTGTTATCTGTGCTCAGGGCTCTCAGTTTAGAATTAGTTTGTGGGAGCCCTTGATAGAGCTGGTTTCAGTACCTGTTAGGACCACACAACAGCTGCGGGCAGAATGACTGGTTTAATGCTGGTCTGGTGGTTCTGTGAGTTGTGTAGGTCTGGAGCTGAGCCCACTTGAATCCAGGCACCAAAGTAGCACAGCTAGTCCTCAACTCACACTGGTGTGGTTCCCAACCATGTGACTCTGAACTCTTGGTGAGCAGGGTATATGCTGGAGGTGGATGAGGGTGGGAGGTGGCCTCACCTCTGGTCACCTGGTGAGTGTGGGGAAAAAGAAGAAAGCGTACCGTCCTTTGTCAAAGTTGCTCACAAATGGTAGAATTGTGTCTAGCCTGCTGTTCACCAGTCAGTCTTCCTCTCTTGCCATCCTTGCTTGTCCTCTCTTCTCAGCAAGCATTCTAGCCACCTCTCTAACCTTTCTTTTGAAGTTCATGCTGCCAGAATTTTCATCTGTGTCAGTTTTATTTGGTCCCTCATATCTTTGTTGTAGAGGGTCCATGTTGTGTGTTGGCGTAGTCTGCCATGTTGCCAAAAGTCCTCAAGTCTTCATCTAATTCTGATGCCATATTCTTCTTCATGTAATCCAGTTTCTCAGATAATTTGCTCAGCAGACAGAATGAATAAGTATAGTGAAATGACACATCCCTGGAGCACACCTTTCCTGATTTTAAACCATTCAGTGTCTGTTTTGTCTGTTCTAACAGCTGTCCCTTTGTCTATGTACAAGTTCCTCATGAACACAATGAAATGTTCTGGAATACTCATTCTTTGCAATGTTATCCATACTTTGTCACGATCAATACACTGAAAACCTTTGAATAGTCAATGAAGTACAAGTACACATCTTTCTGGTATTCTCTACTTTCAGCCAATATTCATCTGATATCAGCAGTGATATCCCTAGTTCCATATCCTCTTCTGAATTTGGCTCGAATTTCTAGCAGTTCTCTGTTGATGTTCTGTTGCAACCATATTTGAATTATCTGCAGAAAAATTTTACTTGCATGTGATATTGATGATATTGTTTGCTCGTTTCCACATTCCATTGGGTCAACTCTCTTTGACTGTGGATCCAATGGGCACAAATATGAATTTCTTCTAACTGGTTGGACAGGGAGCTGCCTTCCAAATTTCTTGGCGTAGATGAGTCAGTGCCTCCAGTGCTGCATCAGTTTGTTGAAAGATTTCAATTTTGTATCCCATCCAATGAGTTAGATACTTTAAATTAGGAGACCCCCAATGAGATAGATACTTTAAATTAGGCTCAACAATTACTTGTGTTGTTGTTGTTAAGTGCCATCGAGTCGGGTCCGACCCATAGCGACCCTGTACAGGGTTTCCGAGGGTGTAAATCTTTACGGGAGTAGAAAGCCTCATCTTTCTCCCGCGGAGCGGCTGGTAGTTTCGAACCGCTGACCTTAAGGTTCGCAGCCCGATTCGTAACCACTACGCTACCAGAGCTCCTTAGTTGAAACTTTATTTGAAAACTTACTTGTAGGGTATTACAGAATAATAAAAAAAAATTCTTCTAGAAGATGGCCTTGGAAATATTGGTTTCCTTATAAGCAGAATCCAGGTTATAGTATCATCTTTGTGGTTCATGCCAGATTATTGTTAGAATCACAATAGTTTAGGAGAACTTACAGTCAACTCTGAAATTTTGTGCTAATGCAAAGCAATGTTATAATTTTTAGCTTTTGTGAATTGAGTGAATGTTTACAGACAGTATCATCAGTTTTACACTCAGCAAACCATGCACTTCGCTTTTCTCAATGATTGCAATCCCTTCCATGTAATACCAATTACCCTACCTCCTCCCTGTTTGTGATTTCCATTCCACCCTTTTCCCCTTCGTTTCTTAACAGCAATGTTATTATTAACGGATTCCCTCTCATTCTTTTTACTACTCTCATGGAGAGAACACTGATAAATTATTATGTTTTTCCCAGGGAGAGTCACACCAGCGCAGCTCACGTCTTATATTCAGCTCTTCAAGAACAACCATAAAGCTCTGATGAATCACAGTGGTCTCCTACAGCTTGGGCTGGCCACAGTTCAAACTCTGAAACACCCACAGACTGTCAAATGGGACAACTTTCTGGCTTTTGAAAAGCTTCTTCTCCAGGTATGTTGCTTTGTGAGCTTCTTGGGGTATTAATAATTAAAAAAAAACTTTTATAGAATAAAGTAGGAATTCAGTAGTGAATCATATTGTTGTCCTATGTTCTGAGTCATGCTTTCTGAATAGTCCAAATTAAATTTAAGTAGAAAATTCACATACTTTTTTTTGAAGGGTGACTGCTTTGATTTTTTTCAATAAATAAATATACAACATAATGAAAGACTAACCAGTCCTAGGCCAGCCTCACAATTGTTGTTATGTTTGAGCCCCTGTGTCAGTCCAGCTCATTGAGATTGTTATCTTTTTCACTGACCCTTACCAAGCATGATGTTCTTCTTCGTGGACTGGTCCCACCTAATAACACATCCAAGGTATGTGAGACCAAGTTTTATCACCCTTGCTTCTAAGGTGAATTCCGGCTGTACTTTGTTGATTCTTCTGGCACTTTGTGGTATATTTAATATTCATTGCCAATGCCATTTAACGGCATACATATTTCTTTGGTCTTCATTGTTGGTTAGCATTCACATGTGTATGAGGTGATCGATTATGGATCCAAATAAAATAAAATCTCTAAGAATTTAATCTTTTCTCCTTTTATCATAATATTGTTTATTGGTCCATTTATGAGGAGTTTTGTTTTATGTTGAAGTGTAATTCACACTGAAGTCTTTGATCTTCATCACTAAATCTGACAAATTGTCCTCACTTTCAGGAAGTATGTGCCATCTGAGTATTGCAGGTTGTTAACGAGCCTTCCTCCAATCTTGATGTGGTGATTTTCATATGTTTCAGTTTCTCTTATTTGCTCAGCATACAGACAGAATGAATATGCTGAAAGGATACAACCCTGACATACAGCTTTCCTCATTTTAAACCATGTAGTATCGCTTTGTTCTGTTCAAATGACTGCCTCTTGTCTATGCAGAGGTCTGCATGAGCACAATGAAGTGTAATGGAATTCCCATCCTTCACAATGTCCCAGATAGTTGGTTATGGTCCACAGAAGCAAATTCATTTGCATAGTAAATAAAACACAGGTAGACACCTTTCTGGTATTCACTGCTTTCACCAGAATTCATCTGATGTCACCAATGATATCCCTCATTTCACATCCTCTTTTGAGTCAAACTTGAATTTCAGACAATTCCCTCTAACAGATGTACTGCTACAACTCTTTTTGAGCAATCATCAATATAATTTGACTTGATATTAATGGTATTGTTTAATGATTTTCAGGTTCTGTTGGATCACCTTACTCTGCAATGGGTACAGATATGGATCTTTTTCTAGGTGTTTGACCAGCTAGCTATCTTCCAGATATCTTGGCATGGACCAGTTAGTGATTGTTATCAGCATTGCATCCCTTTTGTTGAAATATCTCAATTGGTATTCTACCAATTCCTAGAACCTTGTTTACGCCAGTGCTTTTGCTGCAGTTTGCACTTTTTCCTACAGTGACATCAGTTCTTAATTATAAGCTGACTCCTGAAATGGTTCACTCCTATTTTTCGTTTACTGTTATCTAGAGCCAATATGTGTTCATCTTTTCCCCACCTATGTTGTTGTTCTGTTAGGTGCCATTGAGTTGGTACCGACTCATAGCAACCTTATGCACAGCAGAACAAAACACTGTCCGATCCTGGGCCAACCTCACTACCGTTGCCTCGCTTGAGTCCATCGATGCTGCCACTTGGCCAATTCATCTCATTGGGGTCTTCCTCTTTTTCTCTGACCCTCCACCTTACCAAACATGATATCCTTCTCCAGCGACTGGTCCCTCCTGACAATATGTCCCATGTATGAGAGATGAAGTTTGGCCATCTTGGCCTCCAGGGAACACTCTGGCTGTACTTCTTCCAAAACAGATCTATTGGTTCTTTTGGCAGCCCATGGCACTTTTAATATTCCCCTCCAACACCATAACTCAAAAGCATCAATTCTTCTACGGTCTTCCTTATTCACTCTCCAGTTTTCACACGCATATGAGGTTATTGAAAATATCATGGCTTGGGTCAGGCTAATGCACCTTAGTCCTCAAGCTGATATCTTTGCTCTTCAACACTTTAAAAAGGTCTTGTGCAGCAGATTTGCCCAGTGCAATATGTCGTTTGATGTCTTGACTGCTGATTCCATGAGAGTTATCCAAGAAGAATGAAGTTCTTGACAGCTTCAATCTTTCCTTCATTGATAAGAATGTTGTTTATTGGTCCAGTGGTAAGGATTTTTGTTTTCTTGACATTGAGATGTAATCCATACTGAAGGCTGTGCTCTTTGATCTTCATCAGTAAATGTTTTAAGTCTTCTTCACTTTCAGCAAGCAAGGTTGTATCATCTGCATATCACAGGTTGTTAATGAGTTTTCCTCCAATCCTGATGCCACAATTTTCTTCATATAACCCAGCTTCTTGTATTATTTGCTCAGCATACATATAGGTTGAATAAGTATGGTGAAAGAACATAACGTCGTCACACACCTTTTTAAATTTTAAACCATTCGGTGTTCCCATGCTCTATTCGAACAACTGCTTCTTGGTCCAGGTACAGATTCATGGTACATTCTTCCATTTTTGTAGGTCTCTTTTGGTTTCTTGTAGTAATGTTTTGTCGTTTTCTTTGTATAAGTCCTTTGTTTCTCTGGTTACATTTATTCCTAGATATTTCATCCTTTGTGTGGCTATTGTAAATGGTAATGCTTTCCTAATATCCTTTTCAATGCTGTCGTTTTTGGTATAGAGAAATCCAACTGATTTTTGTATGTTGATCTTATATCCTGCCACTTTGCTGAATCTTCCAGTGAGGTTTAGTAGCTTTTTTACAGTCTTTGGGGTTTTCTACGTATAGGATCATATTGTCTGCAAATAGAGTTTTACTTCCACTTTGCCAATTTGCATGCCTTTAATTTCACTGGCTTGCCTTATAGCTCTTGCTAAGACTTCCAGCACAAGGTTGAATAGGAGTGGTGACAAAAGGCATCCTTGTCTGGTTCCTGTTCGCAAACAGTGGGGGCCAATTAACAGATACCAAAAAGAAGAAAGGAAAACCGACAAACTGTATTGTCTACCTTTACTCTGAGGTTCCCGAGGTCTTATTCCGTTGTGGGTCTGTTCTCCCCACTTGGTCTTGTTGTTTGGTCTCGCCCCAGTTGTGGGCTCTGGGCCGCTGAGCCCAGCAGATTAAAAAATACATGATTTCTTACTCCTGCTATAAGTTCCACTAGCTATAAGTCTACAAAGTTTTTAAATATTCCTAGATAATTGGTTCAGAGTTTTGGAGCTCTGCCCTGAACCTTCTTCACCTGGTATTCTGTGGTATTTCTAACTTCACTGCACCTCTACCCTATCCGCCATCAAGCCCCGCCTCCTCTCTCTCCTTGACTTTTACGACCATAACTCATTTTGCTATTTGTTGTTGTTGTTGCTATCGAGTGCTGTGGAATAGGTTCCAACTCATAGTGACCCTGTATAGAGTTTCTAAGGAGTGGCTAGTGAGTTTGAACTGTTGAACTCGTGGTTCAAACCAATCTTACAGTCCAGAGCTTTATTATACATTTCCACACTAGGATTCCAAATATACTCTCCCTCATTAAATCCTCACCTATTAATTTTAATAAATGTTTATGCTTCTTAGCTAAATTAATTTTTATGATGATGGTTGCCAAATGGTTATTTAGTGATTCCATTATTCTTTCTACACTTATTAATTAATCTTCTATTTTATGGCAACATTTTCCTTATTTATTTATTTTGATATGGATGTACGATTTTAGTGTTTAAGATAGGTAACAATCTGTTGCTATCATTCTTCATTTGAATGTTCAAATTGTCTCATTTTTTCCACTGTGAGCTCCTTCTAGGTGCTTCCCTGTCCTTTTGACATGTTGTATTGTTATTTGAATGTTGACTTATTTTCTGAAACACTAAGGTTTGAAGATTTATCTTGTCCTTATTTTTGCCCCATCCCTGGAATCATCCCTTATCCCAAAGAGCTCTGATTCCTTTTATGGATAAAGTATTGAGATACTAATGGCTGGGTACTGGGTGTGCTCACTGGTGTCTGGTTGTCACTGATTGGGTGACAACCTAGGTTTTCTCAGAAGTCAGAGCTAGAGACTGTATATATGCATATGCACGTATACATTTGCATAATTTACATAATTGTTATTCTGCATTTATCTGGAGTCTTGGTATGGCCCTGCAGGTTAACATGCTAGACTGCTAAGTTAGTTTGAGCCGCAAGGTCTATGGTGCAGTCTCACCAGCCACTCATCGGAAACCCTATACAGGGTAGCTATGGGTGGGAACTGACTCGATGGCACTTAGCAACAGCAACAAACTTTTATCTATTGCTCTGTGTATTAAAAATAATGAGTTGATACTGATCCCATAATTTTTCTTCAATACCACAGGGTTGCTATGGGTCAGAACTGACTCGATGCCACTTAACATCAACCATGTGGTTCATTTTAGTTTTTTCCCTTTTCACATTTGTAAATTCCTTCTCGGACAGTGAGAAACCTGCTTCCCATTATTCTGAGTTTGTTGATGTCCTCAGTCTCCCCATATGTAACTAATCTTTTATTATAGCTGCTGCCCCCTTTCACAGATGCCTCCTTACTTACATGTCTGTGTCTTCCTGCTCTCGGCCAAAGCCAACCCCACAGAAATGTTCTCTTTGCTTCACACAAAGGTGCCCCTGTTTAATCTTCCCCTCGACAGATGCCCTCCTTCGTCTGCTCAGGCTCTGACACTCTATACTGGGTGTCCCTCACCCTCAGTTGGGCACCTTTCTCACTCCTTTTGGTTCTGAAAACTCATTCAGGGCTACTGTCCCCCCACATTGCCATGCGTCCTCCTTTTCTGACATCCTATTGTTTCTCCATATTCCCTGTTGATGTTCTTCAGTCTTCCCATTTCTTATAAGCAGAAGGTCTCTTCACCCTGCTTGAGTTCAAACACTCTGTACTAGGCTGCCATTTCCAACCCCCTTCCTCTCCCCGAACA